TATAGATTTATTCAGATTTTCTGTTTCTTCTCAAATCAGTTTTGCTACTTTGTGTCTTTCTAGGAATTTGTCCATTTCTTTTAGGTTTTCTAGTTTTTGGCATATAATTTTTCATAGTATCCCATGTAACCATTTTTATTTCTGTAAAGTTGATAGGGATGATGTCTCTTTTGGTCTTGATTTTAGTTTAGTTTTTTTTTTTTTTAAAGATTTTATTTATTTATTTGAGAGAGAGAGAATGAGAGACAGAGAGCACGAGAGGGAAGAGGGCAGAGGGAGAAGCAGACCCCTGCTGAGCAAGGAGCCCGATGCGGGACTCGATCCCAGGACTCCAGGATCATGACCTGAGCCGAAGGCAGTCGCTCAACCAACTGAGCCACCCAGGCGCCCTTGATTTTAGTATTTTGAATTGTTTTCTCTTGACCAGTTTAGCCAGAGTTTTGTTGATTTTTGTTATCTTTTTGAAGAACCAACTTTTGTTTTCACTGATTTTCTCAATTGTTTTGCCATCCTCTATTTTATTTATGTGTGGTCTGATATTTGTTACTTCCTTCTATCAGCTTGCTTTGGGTTTAATTTGCTCTTCTTTTTCTAGTTTCTTTCTTTTTTTTTTATTTACTTGCGAGAGAGAGAATGAGAGACAGAGAGCATGACGGGGGGAGGGTCAGAGGGAGAAGCAGACTCCCTGCTGAGCAGGGAGCCTGATGTGGGACTCGATCCCAGGACTCCAGGATCATGACCTGAGGCGAAGGCAGTCGCTTAACCAACTGAGCCACCCAGGCGCCCTCTTTTTCTAGTTTCTTAAGGTGGAAGGTTAGGTTATTGATTTCAAATCTTCTTTTTTTAGTTTAGGCATTTACGGCTCCCTCTGGGCCCTATTTTAGCTGCATCTCATCAGGTTTTGGTATGTTGGGTTTTCCTATTCATTCATCTCAAAGTAGTTTTCCCATTTCCCTTATGATCTCTTCTTTGACCCATTCATTATTTAGGAACATCTTTTGTTTTTATCTGCTGTATTTATTAAATAATAAGTGTACTAAGATAGAATTATATTTGAACTAAGATAGAATTATGTGACAGTCCCTGGTGCTTACCTTCTAAAAATAACATCTAGTTTTAGCTTGTCTCAATGGAGAAAGTATTAAAAAAAGAAAAAACAACCAAGTAGTTAACAGAAAAGTAGGATCTTCACTCTTAACTTGCTTATAATAAATAGATTTGAACATTTTTAACATATAATGAAGACAACTTGGTATTGCAAAAGCCCTACTGAAATCTAACATCTCTACTGTCCTACCTTTGTGTAATAAATTCTCTGTGGAGAGTATGAAAAAATCAATGGCTAGTAAGTTTGTTCATGGTGAGGGCTAGGGACACAAGCTTTCTGAGTGTTTCCCTTGGGGCTTTCTATTTCTGGCTCACAAATGTGTGTGTGAGGGGTGGGGGGTGGAGAAGTAAAATGGGTAGTGGATAAAGATACCACTGTTGGGCGCCTGGGTGGCTCAGTTGGTTAAGCGACTGCCTTCGGCTCAGGTCATGATCCTGGAGTCCCTGGATCGAGTCCCGCATTGGGCTCCCTGCTCGGCAGGGAGTCTGCTTCTCCCTCTCCCACTCCCCGTTTGTGTTCCCTCTCTCGCTGTGTCTTTCTCTGTCAAATAAATAAAATCTTTAATAAAAAAAAAAAAAGATACCACTGTTTAAAGATAGCTATTTAAAATTTCATGTGGCTCTATATGAATAGAAATAAAACTAGAAAAAGCTAAATTTCATATTATTTTCATAGTTTTCTTTGGCGTTTGTGTTGGTGCATAAAATCACTTTTACTTAGCCACATTAATGTACTTCCTTACAGAAGAAACAGGAGAGAGCAAGGGGACAATGTGGTAATCACTGAGTTCGTGAAAATTTTATGAAACATTGGTAAGGATGATTTTTGGGCCAGAGATATTTGGGAGGAATTTGTGAGGTTGATTTCAGTTTTTGTTTCTGGTTCCTTCATTGATTTCTCCTAACCCTCCCCTAATCATTACGGCTTATAAAACATACGAAGTTCAGTTGTTAAGGAAACTAGTATACCAACCCACATTTGTATAATACATTTTTCTTTCCTTTTTAAAAAAGATTTATTTATATATTTTGAGCAAGAGGGCATGCGAGTGGGGGGAGGGGCAGAGGGAAAGAGAGAGAGAGCATGGAGCCCGACGTGGGGCTTCATCCCACAACCGTGAGATCATGACCTGAGTCGAGATCAAGAGTTGGACACTTAACCAGCTGAGCCACACATGCGCCCCTGTATAGTACCTTTTTCTTTACAAAATGCTCTTCTACTTAAGATTCCCAGTAATCCTGCAATATAACTGATTCTCTTGAAAACTGGTACACTAAATCGATTTTAGCTGGCACCCAAAGCCAAAAATTCAGTCTACCATTGAGGAAAAAATTAAACTAGAGAAGTGGTGGTTATGTGGTTTTGATGTAATTTTATAGGAGAGGACGTAAAATACAGGAATCCTGGATTTATTTACTATGCCTTGCTAATTAAAAAAAGAAAGGAATAAAATAATATTCCTACCATGAAAACTCAACAAAGGGTTATAACTACTGTTGGATTTTTATGACTGTGTGAGGTTTGTTTAAAAAATCGGTCAAGTCTCTGAAGTACAGTGTCCTCTTGCTGGTTTCTCAAAGGCAGCCTCTCCTGAATTAATTACAAACAGCAATATATGAGGTATTAGGTTATAGTATGGTGTGATTGATGATTCACTTCACGACATAGAGAACAGATGTGATTACCATTTATTTTACTATAGACCTGAATTTATGCCGTAAATATATTACTTTTTAAAAACTGTAGCAATAGCAAATATACTTTATTTCAATGATTTCAAAATATTAGATTAAAGTTGTGTGGTTTTCTGAGGTGAATGTTATTATATTGGAATAAAAACATGGTGATGCATCTTATAAAAAGCTTTAAAAGACCTGTTTTTGGTTTTGTTTTTAAGAAAGAGTGCTAGGGGTCCGGTGGGGGCGCTGTGGGGGGGTGAGGGGCAAAGGGAGAGGGAGAGAAGCAGACTCCCTGCTGAGCGCAGAGCCCCATGCAGGGCTCAGTCCCACAACCCTGAGATCATGACCTGAGCTGAAAGCAAGAGTTGAACACTTAACTGACTGAGCCACCCAGGCGCCCCTAAAAGACCTATTTTTGAAAAGTTGAAACTAATTTGGGAGCAGTACTGAAGCAGCCAGCTTTGCGATAGTGCTGGAAAGGGAAAGTTTTGACCCAGAGCCTTGGAATATTCAGTCTTATTTCAGAGCCATCCTATAAAATGCACGATGCAGTGGTTGACCATCATGTTATCACCCAGGGTCTGGTAAATGTGGCTGATTCATATTTACAGTTCGGTTTTCCACCTAACCATTATACTTAGTAATGATCTGATCCTTGTAGGGCACTGGGCATTGTTGGTGTGTGATATTAATAGTGTTTTTCAAACAAGCAAATGAGAGTTTTTATATCTACATGAATATTGAGTTTGAGTTTCATTACCTGGTAAAGTTGCTACTTTATTCCAGTGATTTGTCAGTGTTTGAGTTTTGCATCTTCTCTTTAATAATTGCCTTTAAAGCCTCAGCAATATTCCTTTCAGAATACTGAAGTTGTGACATTTTTATTCCCTGAGGGTAATTTTCAGAAAGATCTAGACATCATTCAGAACCTTGTCAGATAAAGTAGATAATCTGAGGCAGACTGTGTTGTAGCTTGTAAGAAACTAGCTCTAAAAGCACTTTCCCAAAAAACTTGTTCATTGGAATAAATGTAACCCCTTTCAAGGTAATTGCTTTCAAGAAAATTTATTTGATGTACAAGTTCAGGTTGATGTATTTAAAAATTCATCACATTTAGCTCATAGTTACATGTTGTATAAGAACTTGGAGAGGTTCCAAAGCTAAACAATGAAGAAGATTAAATTACTTTGTCAGTGACCAAAAAATTATGCCATTGCAGGTAAATGAATAACAGAGATTCTGAAAAGATGTCATATGACCAGTGGGAGCAGGTAAAAATCTCCTGAGACAGTCTAGGGTTATAATTAAAGGCTTGTAAAGGCAGGAGAGAATTATCCTGAAGATGTCAGAGACTTGCTGTGTATTCCTTTGGATTCAACAAATTTGAAGAGGGACTTCATAGCCAAATTGCTTAGGATACATATTTATAAGTATATATATTATATAGGGCACTTGGGAGGCTCAGTCGGTTAAGCGTCTGCCTTCAGCTCAGGTCATGATCTCAGTGTCCTCGGATCAAGTCCCACATCAGGCTTTTTGCTCAGTGAAGAGTCTGCTTCTCCCTCTTACTCTCCCTCTCTCTCAAATAAATAAATAAATAAAAATTAAAAATCTTATAAATATATATAGTATATATATTTGTATATACATACATACAATTTTTATACAGATTTTATGTTTCTAATTGTAAACATTTAAAAATCATAAAAAGTACAGATGAGAAAAAAGCTATTTATAATGACACCTGTCAGAGAAATCCTTATTGATGTTTTAACAAATATCCTTTCTTCTGGGTGTTATTTTATAATGTTGAAATCACACTGAACTTAGAATTTTAAATATTGATTTTTTTTTTACTTACTATTTTCTCAAGTCAATAAAAATTCCTTGTGAACAAAATATTTAGTGGCAGTCTTTTAGATATTAGTATCCAGCTACATATGGTTCATAAAGTTTACTGTTAAACTACTTAAAGTTTATTATTGAAGAAATAATGAAAACTTACAGTATTTCTTCTCTCACACTCATGGTATCAAAAGTATCAGGAAAAAAATCAGGAAGCAAAGACTCATAAGATATTTCATGGGATTATGCTTTCTTAGTTTCATCTATTTATTATTTGTAAATGTTTTCCTTACTAATATGCCGCCATAGTCACTTTCCTAGAAACAGAACTGAGAGAAAAAAATAGTTTCTTTTCTCTCTTGCTGAAGGTGGTTGGAGGCAAAGTAAAGAAACCTGGCAAACGTGGTCGGAAGCCAGCCAAAATTGACTTGAAGGCAAAACTTGAGAGGAGCCGGCAGAGTGCAAGAGAATGCCGAGCTAGGAAAAAACTAAGATATCAGTATTTGGAAGAGTTGGTATCCAGTCGGGAAAGAGCCATATGTGCCCTCAGAGAGGAACTGGAAATGGTAAGAAAGTCCACCAATAAACACATGAAAAAATCAACCTAAGCTTAGCAGTCAAAGAAATCTACATTAAAATATGAAGATACTGATTTTCACGTATCCGTTTGACAAATACGGGAAATAATATTAATCTCTTAGCCAGGATGTAGGCACAGTGCTGGTGGAAGTAGAATGTACATGACTATTTCACTGAGGGACTGTTTATCAAAGAAAAAAATGAAAAATAACCCAAATGTACAACAATAGGAGATTGGTTAAGTAAATTATACTAATTCATATGTGGGACTACTTTGCAGCCAGTAAAAATTACAATGCAAATATATATTTACTGGTGTAGGAAGACATTACAAGACATTATATTGCTAAGTGGAGAAAGCAATATAGCAATATGTAACAATATGTATAGTACATCATTTGTATTTAAACATATCTATTTATTCAGCATGTTTCATTCATTCATTAAGACCTTGGGTGGTGGCTGTAGAAATGTAAAAGAGAATAGAAATCTCATTACTATGACCTAAAGGGAGGAGGTGACAGGTTGGAGAAGAGAGAGAATGCTACCATGATTATTACAAAACTGGGACAGGCTACTACCTCAGCATTTTAAAAGGCAAGAAATAAGGTTGGGGCCTGAAGAGAGTCCAGATATATACAATTCAGAGGCTGTAAATTATTTCTCACATTCTACAGCATAAGCCATTTGAGGGCATAACCTTTGAACTGACTAATCTTTGTATACCCCCAAAGTCCATAGTACACATTCTGGTAGAAAGTAGATGTTCAGTGAATGTTTATGAAAGAGAACAGAAGTTACAGAATTACTGTTTTAGGAGTAGAAATGAGGGCCAGCAAAAAGAGGATTCTAATTAGTGGCACACTGTGGGGAGATGTTCTTTTCACCAGAGGGTCCTTCTGAGCCTGAAGTATTATTGCCAGTATTAGCACAAGAAGATCCTTCAGCTGTTGCCTATCCTCTTCTGAAAGATGGCAAGCCTCATACATGTGCTACGTGGTAAATAGGAAATGCGGTGGAGGGTAGGATTCCCAGCAGCCAATTTGACCTCTAGTTATGGGAGTTACTACGTCTAGGATTTCTACCACTGGTTCCTGAACTCTGACTAGTAAAATTTTACTTAAAAATATTTTACATATTTCAGTACAAGCAGTGGTGCATGGCAATGGACCAAGGAAAAATCCCTTCTGAAATCAAGGCCCTACTCACTGGAGAAGAGCAGAGCAAATCTCAGCAGAACTCAAGCAGGCACACAAAAGCTGGAAAGACAGATGCTAATAGCAATTCCTGTGAGTACAATGAGTGGGAGAGTTTATATTTAGAGGAGCATCTTAAGGTAGGGTTTCCATGGTATGTCATTAAAATGTTGATTTTATTTATAATACACTAATAAGCAAGTGAAATAGTGTTACATTCTAAATATTGAAATGAATTTTATATGGGATCTATGAAGAGTTATTTCTCACGTTCTACAGCATAAGCCATTTGAGGGCATAACCTTTGAACTGACTAATCTTTGTATACCCCCAAAGTCCGTAGTTTTCCACAGTGGATGAAATCTTCTACATTCCCACCGGTAACATGAAGCTTTCCAATCCTGTACATCTTGCCAACGCTTTTTATTTTCCATTTTTAAAAACTCTAGCCTTCCTAAGATGTGAAGTAGTATCTGATTGTGTTGTATGTTTTTTTTAAGATTTTATTTATTTATTTGACAGAGAGAGACACAGCGAGAGAGGGAACACAAGCAGGGGGAGTGGGAGAGGGAGAAGCAGGCTTCCTGCGGAGCAGGGAGCCCGATGCGGGGCTCATTCCCAGGACCCTGGGATCACAACCCGAGCCGAAGGCAGATGCTTAATGACTGAGCCACCCAGGTGCCCCTGATTGTGGTTTTGATTTGCATTTCTCTGAAGACTAATGGTGTTGAGCATCTCTTCTTGTGCTTGTTGGCCATTTGTATATCTTCTTTGAAGAAATGTCTAAGTCCCTTGCCCATGTTTTAATTGAGTTGTTTTTCATTTTGTTCTTGAGTTGTAAGAGTTCTTTATATATTCTGGGTTCTAGACCTTTATCAGATACATGATTTGCAGATATTTCTCCCATTGTGTAGGCTGTCTTTTCACATTCTTGATAGTGTCCTTTGGTGCACAAAACATTCAAATTTTGATGAAGTCCAGTTTATTTTTTCTTTTGTTGTTCATGTTTTGTCGTATGTAACAATCCGTTGCCAAATCCAAGGTCATGAAGATTGACCCCTGTGTTTTCCTAAGAATTTTTGGTTTTAGCTCTTATATTTTAGGTCATTGATCCTTTTTGAGTTAATTTTCTATATGGTGTGAGATAGAGGTCCAATTTAATTCTTTTGCATGTGAATATCCAGTAGTTCCAGCACTGTTTGTTGAAGAGACTGGAAAGATTTTGTAATGAAGATGTCATGGATTGGTTTCTTCATCATCGTGACTGCTTTGGGAGCACTTGTAACAATTAAAAGAAAATGCCAAAAACTCTTTATCTTTAAAAAATTTTTTTTAAGATATTTTTTTGAGAGAGAGAGAGAGAGCGGGGGGAGGGGCAGAGGGGGAGGGAGAGGGACAAGCAGATTCTGCGCTCAGCGCAGAGCCTGATGTGGGGCTCAATCTCACAACCCTGAGATCATGACCTGAGCCAAACCAAGAGCCAGCCACCCAACCGACTGAGCCACCCAGATGCCCCTCTTTTAAAATATTTTTATAAAATTGAAGGGTTTGCTTTTTGATAGCTTTTCTTAGATGAGGTAACATTTGCCTTTATCTAAACTGAATTGATGAAAAAAAGCCAAATCAGCTCAGTTTTCTTTCAGGCTGTATTTTAAAAAAGCCTTTCTCTGTAGATACTAAACAAACAAAATGCATTTTAAAACATTAACCAAGCTTCATTGACTTACAAGCATTCTTACACTGGTAACTTTGATTTATTTTTCAGGGTGAAGATTATATAAAATGACGAGTCACTGATTGAAGTCAATATTCTGATTCCTATGGAGGATGAAAGGGCAAGATTGTACTTCTTGGCTCCATTTACAACCTACTGCTCAGTAGTCATCTCTGTAAATCTGCAATTTCTACCAAAATCCCAAAGGATTTTGCTTTAACTTTCAACACTTAGAGAATTTATAAACATTCAGATCTGTTCTGGTTGGCCTTGCCACCCATGGCATCGAACATGTTGCAATGCTTGAAAACACAGGAGTAGAGAGAAGTGGGTGAAGATTGTATTTTTGCACCTTAACTCCACATTGCTTTATTGGTTAATTTATATTCTTTCCATGTATTTCATGTCATTGTATGTGTATGTGTGTTTAGGTGTCACCTATGTTTTTGATTGCCCTACAAAGAGAAACCAAATGGGCTGATAACCAAGTTCTCAGCCTTAATGGACCTAATTTTATTTGTTTATATTTACTTGAGTAATGTTTATTTTCTGCATTGAACCATGATTTCTCCTGTGAGCCATTCCAGCATAAGCTGTGAATATGTATTAACAAATATATACATTTCTATTTTTATAATCCATAATGATATGCCTGTTTTAAATAATGTACGTGTTAACAAAATCCATTAGGAAAGCCCTCAAGACAGCCTCTATTTAAAACTTTTGTTGCTGTCTTCTCAAACTATATTTATAAAAGTTTGCTAGGGCCTAGTCCATACTTGGAAAATAATTAGTCAAATTTTATTTTTAAGCAGGAAGTAACCTTTTAGGCATTTCTGCAGCATACATCATCTTGACAACCTAGAGTGTTGTATGTATGTATGTATGTTTGTATGTATGTATGTGTTTGTATCGTATGTCTGTATATGTATGTGGGGAGGGTAGGAGTGAATGTTCACACACATTGCCTTGTGTAGTCAACTAGGAGAATTTTTCTAAAGAAAATAGGATGAAATTAGCTGCTGAGATCGAGTTTCTGCCTCAAGAGATCTGGAACAAAACGAGGGAGAAATTGCTAGTAGATCTAATGGCTGTAGGCATAACCAGAACACTTAGTTTCTTCCCTGACATGAGTTTCCGTATGAATGTGTTCTGAGCCAGGAAGAAACACACTGTGGGTGTGCCTCTGGTTCAGCCCTGACGGCGCCTCCGCTCTGGAGCGAAGCACTGAGCCGGCGTTGTGCATGGCTCGGCGGCTGGCAGGCCGGGCAGGAGGTGCACAAGGCCAGGGTTTCCAGTTCCCATCATAGCTACATTTACTTTCTTCCTGACTACAAAACACAGTGATGGTTGAGGAATCAAGCTCATCATATTCTACGTGCAGACCAGGAATCTTTCACTTTCCCCACTGAGACACTTTATCACTCTCTCTGCTCTTTCCCATCGTTAAATCAGGAGTTGTGTTCTCTGTTGCTGCTAAATTATAATTGTTCTTAGCTCTAATGAAGCAAATTTTTGGCTTCTAAACAGTATGTTTTGTTATGAAATGGCAGTTTAAGAGGAGGCATCATAGTCTAGATTGTGAGATGGAACAAGAGATGGACCACATAGTTTCAGATTACAAGGTACTCTCCCCCCTTCTCTTAGGCCACACGTTTGAATAAAGTGCTTCCCTTTAGCCTGAGTTCCTGAAGATCTCTTGTGTGTAGGTTGCAAACTCAGATCTAGTCTAGTCCTGTGTGACTACTGATAGACCACTAGCCCCGCCTGTTGGGTCTCTCTGTGTTTTGGAGGACTGGGGATTTAAGAGTATTTAATGTCTTTTTAGGATCACAAATATAGATAGATTAAAGATTGTTAATATACTGACCTTCAGAATTTAAGTGTTTTAAATATAGTGTTCAGATTATAATGGGTATGTTTTTGCCATCTGGTCTACTCAAATGTATATTTTTATTTTGCAAAACAACTCAAGATTTACTCTGTGTTGCTTTGTTCAGTACCTTTTGAATTCCCCAGAAGAGTTGTTTTCAAAGCAAACATTCCAAAATGAATGTGGCTCTTCAATGGAATGTCTCCATTGTGCTTGAAGTATTTCTTCTCTGGTTGTAACTTTAAATTACAGGGTCATTTGAGCAACCCTCCACCCCCACCCCCAGTATCTTTACAAGAGCAGTGACTTTGTCCTCAGGTAGAGGATGTGTGATTTTGGATGAAAGTAAATTACAACTTACTGAGTTTATTCCTAAACTGATCTTTTTGGTATTTTAAAGTAGATCATACCAAGAGAAAGTTCCTTGGTCTTAAAAAGGAATGTTTTGATTGCTTTGGGTATTGTGCTGGCTGCACGCTTTGGCCACTTGAAGCATGTTAATAAATGTCACTGATTAAAACAGCTGGAGCATTTCTTTTCCCATTCCAGTTAAGAAGCAGCATACTGAAATCCTAGCATCTCTCACTTACTGTAATGACAACATCCGGGCTGAGAGAGAACAGAAGAGGGTGAGAGAATCATTGAGCTCTGTCCCTCTGGATCCGTGCTGTTCTCTTTGCTCCCTGAGTAAAGAGAGTAATGTTTTCTTTTTCTCTTTTTTTCCCCCCAAAGAAAGGAAGGTAAGGGGAAAATATATATTTGTGTATTTAGACCAGTCATATTCTGTCATTAACTTAGCATAGACCTGCCATATATTAGAACAACTGAATATAATATGGAATAAGTTTGACCAGGTCAAGTTTTAGGATGTAGTTGACATTCTTAAAATTTTTTTCCTATTTTATCTAAAACCTGTCTGTTGTATCTAAATCAGAATCTGTCTTACTGCAGCAAATTCCTATCACTGTGTACCAGCTAATTGACAGTATTTATCAGCATCACCATTTAGCATTTTATTTCATCATCTTTGAATTATGATAGACTTGATTTGGCTCATTACAAAAAGCATAGGTTTAAACTGGACTTAGCTTTAGTTAAAATAAAGGCAAAGAAAATTTAAAAACATAAATATATTTCACAAGAAATCAGTTGCATATTATCAATTACATACTTAGTTTTAAAAGAGGAAGATTATTAATCCACGTGGTATTGGGGGCATTGAGGGAATTTTTCTTTCTCTGAAGAGCATTGTACAATTATATTTTTATGAAAAATAAAATATCTTCACCAGAGACATCTCAAATGGTCTGTTTCACAATACTGAAATATGTCTGTGTTAGCACAGAGTAGTAAAAAGAGTGAGATTGAGGCAGAAGAACTGGTCTTGGATCCATTTTCTGAGTCACCTCTTAGCCTGTTTCCTCATCTATAAAAAAAGGGGAGGATAACTTTCACAGAGTAATTGGCAGGCTAAATAGGAGTTATGAACAACTGCTTCTTAATTAGTAAAGAACTACATTAAATTTAAAATAGTCACGTATGCCTGGGTTTGACTCTTGTTAGGATTTAAATCACTGAAGATAAACATTTATTTGATAAGCTGGAATTTAAACATGTAGGGTTGTAGGTATCACATTTCTGAAGTCTTTTTAGCTTTATCATTATGTCTACCCCGGAATGGTATAGTTGGAAGCCATTTTTAGCAATAATAGCCTTCTGTTAATTAAGCTAATTTTAAGAACAATTAGTGTTCTAACTGGTAATAATCCTATAATCTGCATAAAGCAGGTTTTCAGGCTGCTAGGTCACTTGGTTCTCTTTTCCCTTATTCCATCCATTTTACTTAACTATAGAGTAGTCATGAATCAGAGCCAAGACTGCCGTGTAAGTTTCTGCCAATTGTGCACTGCACAAAGGCACTCAGTTGAGGAGGTGAATGGGCCTAAAATCTAGCTCACATTCCCTGCAACAGGCCATGTGCAGAGGAACGGGCACCTGCCAGGTATCTCCTCACCAGGGCACCTGTGGTGCAGGTCTGCCCAGCGAGGTGCCTTTTTAAAATTTGCCCTAAGGAAGTACCTTTCTTAATTCTTCCACCCAGAGGGTGCCTTTTTAAAAATGCAAAACAGTGCCATGCTGCAGCTGGCCTATGGCTGGCTCCCCAGAGGAATGCCAACTGTGTGCAACTCTTCTCAACTCCGCGTTGAGTGACATCCAGTTGGTAGCTTTTAATCGGCAACAATTGGAGTATTTTTTTTAAAAGACTTTTTATTAGTTTATTTGACAGAGAGAGACACAGCGAGAGAGGGAACACAAGCAGGGGGAGAGGGAGAGGGAGAAGCAGGCTTCCCGCCGAGCAGGGAGCCCGATGTGGGGCTCCATCCCAGGACTCTTGGGATCATGACCTGAGCCAAAGGCAGACGCTTAACGACTGAGCCACCCAGGCGCCCCCGATTGGAGTTTTTTTTTTTTTTTTTTTTTTCTTTAGATTTTATTTATTTGCGAGAGAGACAATGAGAGACAGAGAACATGAGAGGAAGGAGGGTCACAGGGAGAAGCAGACTCTCTACCGAGCAGGGAGCCCGATGCGGGACTCGATCCCGGGACTCCAGGATCATGACCTGAGCCGAAGGCAGTCGCTCAACCAACTGAGCCACCCAGGCGCCCCCCCCGATTGGAGTATTGACACCACAGAAATCAGTGAATGCTACAAATCACGAATTACCGCCCCCTCCACCCGCCCCACCAGACTTGGTTTCCAGCACACCAATGAAAAAGGCCTAGTGTAGGCTAGAATGGCCCTGACCAGAGCAGGCATAGTAGAGGCCTCAAAAATGTATGACTGGAAGACCCCCGGAGCTGGAAGGGCTCTTTTTGTAAGTCTGTAGGCAGCTTGGAGATGCCCATATCAAAATCAGATTGCAGTTGACCCTCGGACAAGCCAGGTTTAAAGTGCGCAAGTCCACCTAACACACATCTTCAATACACACAGCACTGTATTTTTTAATAATTTAAAAAAATACGGAGAAACAGTGGGGGCGGGGCTGAGGGAGAAGGAGAGAGAGTTACAAGCGGACTCCACGCTGAGCGCAGAGCCCAATGCAGGGCTGGATCTCGTGACCCTGAGATCACGACGTGAGCCAAAACCAAGAGTCAGACACTCAACCAACTGTGCCACCCAGGCGCCCCAACACTATTTTTTTTATGATTCTCTTAATAACAATTTTCTTTTTTCTAGCTTACTATATTGCAAGAATAGAGAATATAATACATATACAAAATATGTGTTGACTGTTTATGTTATCAGTAAGATTTCCAGTCAACAGTAGGCTATTAGTAGTTAAGTGTGGGGAAGTCCAAAGTTCTATGTGGATTTTTGACTTTGTGGGGTGTTGGCACTCGTGTCCCCTGCGTTGTTCAAGGGTCAGCTGAACTTCACAAGACAGATGATGGTTGTGACTTAGAAACTGTTAACGGTCGCAGAGAGATACTCGGCCCAAATCTTGAAGTGACTAAGAGGTAAATCAGCTGACTTCTTAAAGCAAGCCCTGGGGTCCAAGTGGACAGACTCATTCACCTATTGGGCTGTGACAGGTCCCCCAGACATCCCTGGGCTGGGGGTTGGGCTGGAGTTGGACAATGAGCTTTGGCTTGCAGGCCATTCTGACTGGAAAAATACATATTTGAGCAGGAAAAATTTCCTGTGGTTCAACAGAACCGATTCCAAACTTGCCACGCCTCAGTGGCCCTCTGCTGAGAAGGAAAGCAATGCCTGCTAAGCACTTCACAGCCCCAAACCCAACATGGAACCAAGTTAGCAGGCTGACAATGACCACTTTGCCTACACCGACTAGACTTGGATAGTCCAGAACCAAACAGGCCAAAGGCCATCCCAGGCCTACACAGAGTTTTGGATCATACCATTTCAATGGAATGAAGACCATGCCTGCCAGCACCACGAGGAGAGAAGTATAGGATTTATGGCTAAATAAATAAATAAATGTATATATAAAATTCCCCTCAAGCGTCAGGCCAGGACAGCCCTAGGCCCCAACTTGCCGCATTAGAAAAGGAAGGAAGAAAGCCAAAAACAAGACAGCCAAGCCTTCTCCCAAAAGGAGGCCTTCATGTGGGCGTCAAATACAAAATCAAAGCTGGAGGTGCCTCTTCCCTTGTGAGAGTAGCCCTGTGTTTTTACCACTCCAGACAGAAAACAGAAAAGCCACAATCCCTTGAGCATTTTTAGGGAGGCAGAGGAAGAACCCTACCTACCAGTACCCAGTGCGGTGTCTTTAAAGCAGAACTATGCACCCTTCCTGGCATGGGACAGAGTGAAGAGAGCCAGAAGAGGTGGGGAAAGGGAGGCTTGAGGACAAATCCTAGCATGACTGGGTTCAGGAGATGCTGACTCTGTACCCAGCCAGAGATACTGGAAGTATGAAATAGGAGAAGGTCCTTTTTCAAATTTTATAAAGGGCTCATCACGGAGTTCCTCTCCATTATCCCTCCTTTAGTGAAAATAAATGTTTTATTGATCATTAACCACATCATTCTGTACTTGGGGGTGACAGAACAACATCAAGCTAAAATGTGCTCATTCATTTGTTATCAGATACAGTGAAAATCGAGTATCTCTACAAGTATAATAGGTGCCTGTGGCATTTTGAGTCAGATGGCTTTTTGGAAACATTTTTGTTGAGTAAAAAGAAGTAGCCAGTTGTGTGCTGATAGATGTTTAACGACTGACTCCTGGTTGGGGGAGGTCTGATTTGTCGTATTTACCAATTTCTGGGGTGGGAAAATTCCCACCGTGGTTGATTTCATGCTGTGTTGTCAACCAGCAAACAACATTTTTTGAAAATTTGAAATTGGCTCTTGCAACACGTATGAGCCACCTTCACACCACTGGATAATCTGTATAGAACAAGAACAGGAAATCTGTTAGGAGTCTTTCAGGTGAGAATAAATACCCAATTGAAATTGTTATAAACAACCATGAGAGTGAAAGTTATGGTGGCTTGACAATGTCATGAAAGACGTTTAAAGTCATTAAAGACTCAGAGTATTTCCTTCCTTTTGCTCTACCATCCTCAGTAGGTTGGCTTTCGCCCTTGGCTTATCCTCTCATAAACATCTCAAACAGTAAACTCGTGTGTCTTTTCTTTAAAAAAAAAAAAAAAAAAAATTAAAAAGCCATAAACCATTCTGTTAGTTTAAACTTTTCTTCAAAATAAACTTAAATGTTCCTTACATTATTTGTGTTCCTAAGTGTGAGTCTTTGGGTTTTTATTGTGTTTCTTTCCCCTTCAACTCCAATTACCAAGTAGCTTTTTTTTTTTTAATACCATCACTTGGGTTTCACTTGATTTCATTGAGATTTGTTTCTAGTTCTAGTAATAATTCATTTATGGTTTAACTGAAAATAGACAGTCGTTACATGTTTTAGCTCCATAGTTGCCTCTGATTAACCATGGCCTACAGTGACTTAGGTTCTGTTTCACTGTTTTTTCATATTCTGCTAGAATAAACAGTTAAATTAACAGACTGATTTTCCCCCGTCAGTTTTCTCTTCCGTGTAAGTGGAAACCCCAACAGAAGAGTGATGATAAAAGTCTACATTCTCAAGTATTTTATGTCTCCTGTTTTTAGACCATTCCTTCTTAAGAAATATCTGAAGGGGGAATAATTTCCTTTGGGGTGAGTAGAGAAGTAGCTCTACCACCTATGTCCCTTCCATCCAAGTTCCTGCTTCCAATTGTTCCTTCTCCCTTGAGTCTGTAAAATCTTAGCAGAACTTAAAAAAAAAAAAAAAAAGAGCTAAGGGAAGAAAACAATGCCACAATTTGAGAGTAGCATTAAAAACCTGTTTCTACTAACGTTAACACATGGTAATAGGTGCCAAGAAACTTGAAAGTTGGAAAAACTCATTGGGTTAGCAATGGCTAAAGTAAAATAACCATAGAAATTTTTATTAAGGGCTTCTCCTGTGCTCAGTAATGCACTGAATGATTTACAGGGATTTGGGCTCATTTTACTACTACAATTCTATAAGGTGGTGTGATGATAAGTCGTACATGTCAATTTAAAGATTTAATTTATTTATTTATTTGAGACAGAGAGAATGAGAGAGACAGAGAGCACATGAGAGGGGGGAGGGTCAGAGGGAGAAGCAGGCTCCCTGCCGAGCAGGGAGCCCGATGCGGGACTCGATCCCGGGACTCCAGGATCATGACCTGAGCCGAAGGCAGTCGCTTAACCAACTGAGCCACCCAGGCGCCCCTGTACATGTCAATTTAGCTAGCTGTAATACCTAGTTATTTATCAAACACTAATCTAGATGTTGTTGTGAACGTACTTTGTTGATGTGGTTAACATCTACAATCAGTTGACTTTAAACAAAGATTATCCTTGATAGTATGGGTGGGACTTACCCAATCAGTTAAAGGCGTTAAGAACGAAAATGCGGTTTCCCAGAGAAGAAGAAATTCTGCCTCAAGACTACAGCTTCAAATCTTGCCTGCTGGCCCAATCTATAGATTTCAGAAACGACAACACCAACTGTGTACCTGAGTTTCCAGCCTGCCTGCCTGCCCTACACATTTCAAGCTTGTCAGTCCCCTCAATGGCCTGAGCCACTTCCTCCAAAAATCATCATCTAACTATGTCCTACTGGTTCTATGATTAGGGTTCTAGAGAACTCTCATACAGGTAGGCACTGCCATGTTCCCCATCTTAAAAATGGAGAAGCTGTGGTTTGAGAATAATTTGCTGGGTTAAACAGATGGTAAGCAAAAACCTGAACTTCAACACAGAAGTTGACTTCAGAACCTTTGAAAGCAATCATCATACTATTTGTGACGAAAGAAAACTTTGCTGGCTGGATATATCACTGGAATGTTGTGCCTAATTTTCACTAATGTTTATTTTTTAAAGATTTGTTTATTTTATTTTAGAGAGAGAGAGCAGGGGTGGGGAGAGGGCAGAGGCAGAGGGAGAGAGAGACTCAAGCAGACTCCCTGCTGAGTGTGAAACCCACACTGGGCTCCATCCCAGGACCCTGAGATCACGCCCTGAGCCAAAATCAAGAGTTGGATGCTTAACTGACTGAGCCACCCAGGTGCCCCATAATTTTCACTAACGTTTAAAGAGTTATTCAAGTAGAATGCACCTGCCTGGAGATTCAGAGAGCCCAGAAGTATAAACGAATCTAGATAGTCAGAATATACATCTATTCTCAGCTACTGTGCTGCCTGTCTCTCTCCCATCCAGCTCCTCACAGCTACTTCTCTGCTCCCCCATTATCTTTGCCATGTCCTCATCTTCGCACACTCAGGGTCCTACTAGCAGAATCCAGTCTTCTTAAAGAGACTATTCTTTGGAAGACACAACGGGGAAGCAGAAGAGAGGATGCACTCAAAATTCCCTTAGAGGAGTTTTAATCCATATCTAGCTGTTGTGGGCAAATCGCTGCTCTATTAACTGCCTGCTGAAAACCAGATGATGTTCTCAAGCTTCCAGACCTACATCCTAATCATGAAGCCAGATACTCTTGCACCCATCATGGCAGAGCCCAGAGCTCCTTGGCAGTCTTTTCCTGCAAAACTAAAATCGCACATTCTTCAAATTATAGGTGAATCCTAATTGTAGAGCCCCTAACTGTATAACTCAGGGTTGATAGGGGGGTTTTCAAAGCAATCTTTGAAAGAGGCTTCTTCTGGAAAAGAATATAGAACTTTTGAACAGAAGTGTTCGGGCGCCTGGGTGGCTCAGTTGGTTAAGTGACTGCCTTTGGCTCAGGTCATGATCCTGGAGTCCCTGGATCGAGTCCCGCATCGGGCTCCCTGCTCGGCAGGGAGTCTGCTTCTTCCTCTGACCCTCCCGACCCTCCCCCCTCTCATGTGCTCTCTCAAATAAATAAATAAAATCTTAAAAAAAAAAAAAAAAAAGAAGTGTTCAGCTGAGCAAAAAAGTTCAGAATGGTTCAGGCTGGGCAAGTCTGGATTGCACTGCTATGAAAAGGGCCACGAATTCTCAGAGTGGAATGGTACAGGGAGCAGAAAAGAGAGAAAGAGGCCTGGGTTAAGTGTGGGCGGCACGACCACCACTTTGGGGTCTGATGGCATTTTTCGAAAATGATACCATTTGTAAAATGGGTTTAAAATACTATTTTGACTGGTGATTTCATGTCCGTAAAGAGTATTAATTATTTTGGGATTTCCTCCAATGTTTAGATGCTCCGTCTTTGGAACACACTGATTGATTAGTTAATCTACAGCTGCTCCTGGTGCTCAGCAATTTTCCCTGTCTTGTTGCTAGGAGACCAGGACTGCTCCGAACCGGCCTGTGTGACAGGCATCATGAAGAGGTGGTGGGCTCTGCCGACGAGCCACAGTGCCATCAAGCGGTCACTCTGCAAAACGGTTCGACAGAGTGGGTTTGTGTCCCCTGTTCTCTAATTAGAGCACTCAGGTTGTCTCGGTTCCAGACGAATTAGCCGGTTCGCTGAACCGCGGGGAGTTGTGTATTCTCTCCGTGCTCTTCCGCACACAGTGAGGGGTTTTTTCCTTCGATAAATGAATCATGCCATGGCAAGCAGGATGGTGAAGTTAAAAGAATGCTGGATAGGTTGGCAGAAGGCATTTTAGTTCGCCCCTACTCTGACTTCTCTTGGTTGTAATGTCTTCCTCTAAACAAGGAGGGGCGTGTGCGACGTCTCTCAATGTCCCTTCCATCCCCAAATCTCCAATTCTTTGCTACTTTCACACGCAGTTCTTCCCCAGAGGAGCTTATCCTTGCAGCTGATCCTAGTCAAGGAGCTCCAGCAGACCTCGGTGATGTGGCTTCACGGTGAGTTTGAGCGGGTGGAAGCAAAGCTGGAGGGGGAAAGGCAAGGACTGTGCCCACCACCACAGGCCAAACTGCCAACCTTCTCTGGCAAATGACTGCTCCCACATGTTTGGTGGAGTCCCCCTGGGTAAATCTGTCCTTCCTGAGCAAGGAATTCTGGCCCAGGGAAGCAGCTCCAGGCATCTTGGGTAAAAACCTGTGATGTAAGGTCCACAGAGAAGTGCATCTGAGCAGCATGTGCTTGTGGACTCTCAGCAGAAGGCTGGCTGGACTCATGCTTCCACTGAAGATTAGAAGAGCAGGAGAAATTTGCATTCCACCCACAGGATGCACCCCTGTCCCTTCTCTGACAGTCTCTGGGAGCCAGGTAGGACGATTGGCTCTACCCTGCCCCCTGCCCCCCATTACCTTTCTTCAACTCCTGTTTGGAGGCCCCATGAATCCAGATTCATGGTGCACCTCATCATGGACCCAGTGCAGAGACTGGGGTCATTTTTCACTCTCTCCAACAACCTGCTTCCCTGTGGATTTAACTCTGGTTCTTGCCAGGCAGATGTGAGTTATGGTGAATGTTGTGCTTGTCCTGCTGGGACTTATACAAATCTTCATCAATCTGTGCATTATGTCCAGTATCCTCTGATTTCAGGATCAAGTGAGACAACCGGAATCCTGAATATTAAACAAGCCTGAACCAAAATACAGTGAATTATCAACATGCTAAGAGAATACAGCTGAATTATCGTAGGCCATGAGACTATGATTTGGTTGACACTTTTGTCATTATTGGGGGGATTCTTTAAAAAAAAAAAACCACCATGAGATTGTCTCACTGAATCGCCACCTACTGGGGTAAACTCACAGAACATTCAAGACAGAATGGAGCTTAGTACTCATCTTTTAGTTTAAACTGAGACCTGAAAAGATGTATCAAAATAAAATTGAGATGAATTAAATTTAACTTTTTACAATCTAACTTCAAAAAATATACCATTTAAAGGGATCAAAATAAAAGTATGCACAAAAAAATGGACAAAAATGCAAAGGTCTTCTCTGTTTTTTAACAGGTCTGAACCTCCGAATTCAAGAGCCAATGGGAGAACTGTCTAGCTCATTCAGTCATTTTAGAGTGCCATCTGCTGATGGGATAAGTAAGAAGATGAGGAGGAAAAAGAAAAGGAAGAAAAATATGAGATGTTCTTTTTCTCTCTTCAATCTGTTGATTGAAGGAAGCACCTCCACTTAAAAACATCTCTGTAGATGTTTTGCAGATAAGATATTTCATGGTGTTTGTTCCTGGCCCTGAATATCAAACCTAGTCTTGTGTTTCTCTGTGATTGTATCTCTGACACTCAGCACCACAAGTCCAAGAACCTATCAACCTATCCATGGCCAAAGAAAATATGAGGGCCAGCTCATCAAATTTCACCTAGACTCTCCTTTTAAGAATGGCCAGATTTTCTTAGACCTTCCTTAGATTTCCACCAAGGCAGCAGCCAGGAGGCCCAGTGAGGCCTGGCTGGGACTGGCCACTCACGTGTTCCTTAGAGAGACTTCTGTAATGTCAAGGGAAGAGTGACATACTTGCAGTGAGAGGACCCAAGTGTGACTACCTGCCCTGTCAGACTCCAATGTGGGCAAGTCACACACCATGGCATCCCAGGTTCCTCATCTGTGAAGCAGAGGTGACAAGTACATCGCAGAATTCTTTTGAGAGGATAAAATGAGATCATGCTGGTAAAAATCACTAACAACTGGAATTATTATTTGCAGCTCTGAACTGGGATGTGAAAATGCATACGTGTCTTGTCTGTAAGCCTTTTATTATTTAAATAAGAATGTTTTTTTTAATGTGCTGGCCCTAGATTTGAAATAACCGAAACTGACAAGCAGAGAAGAAAACCTCGAGATATCACAGGCAAAGAAGAGTCTGGGCTTGGCAAGGGTGTGATGATGTATCCTGCAGAGAGATGAGGGGAAAGAGGTGCTGGCAGGGGAAACGGCCTCATGTCCGAGTCTCTAGGACAATGAAGAAGGTGTTCCTTGTCCTTGGTGTCTTTGTGTGTAGGGTAGGGATGGGCAGCCAAAGACCTCTGCCCGAACTGCAGAGCCCAGAGAAATGCCACCTGCCGTTTCTCCCGTTGGCACTTTCTGGGCTTGCCTAGCAAGGACATCTACTCACTGGCTTGAGTTTAACTCAAAGAAGGGAAGTAAACGTCCCAGATACAGCCTAGATGGGACACAGATGTGAGAAAAACATCATGACTTCAGAATTTTCAGGGCATCATCAGTTGCTTAGGTTAAGGGAGAATGGAGAGAGAGACAAAGAGGGAAATTAGGCAACTTGATTATCACTTTTCTTTCCCTAAGAATCCTGATTAAAATTCAGTCACAGAAGGCTTCCCAGCAAGTTCCAGTATATTCCATCCTATGGAGTGCATCCCACAGGAGATCTGGACAGTGGTTACTTGGAAAAAGGTGATGTAAAAATATGTACAATATTAACACTCCCTCAATGTTACTTAGTCGGAGTAATACAAGTCTCTGAAATAATGTGTCACATTAGATTTCATTTGCAACAGAAGCCCACAGTTACAAAATTTCAGTAGGGAGGAGAAAAAGCAGACAGAATAAAACTAAGTAGAGTCATGAATCAAAGACTGTGTGTATGGTTTATGTTTTTTGGACCCAATCAGGGTAAGTAAAAAGTAGAAAAGCATTCTCTTTTTTATGCGTGTAACATAGTAAAAGGATTACCAACCATAGCTCAAGGTGAAAGCTTCCTCTAAAACCAAAAGCAACCAAAATAAAACCACAGAAATGATAATCAATAATTAAATGCATTTTGCAGCATAAAACATTTCCCTCAGAAAGTTGATTAAAAAAAAAAACATTTAAAAAGCTCCTGTTTTTAGAGTTAAAGCTTTTTAATCTCTGGCACATAACAATAATTGAAAGAATTCTGCGAAATTACACAAAAGTATTTGGTGGATTTGAATTAATGGGCCAAGCAAGCTTTTTTTCCTTGGCTTCTCTGTCAAATGAATCATAGATCGAGTCTTTGGTTATAGTTTTGGCCGTGGGAGGAATTTCTGAAATGCCAACGTAGTTTTTTTTGGCCATCCTTGAACTGGTTGTGATAGTATACGCATTGCTTCGGTAACATTTCATTGAGGACATGCAAAAAGTCTCTTTCATTCCTCTCCTGAAATTGGCATTATAGATGGAATACAGCGTAGGTTTAGAGGCCGAAGAACTAAAGGATATCCACGTGATGGCTGTGAAAACAAGGGAACTTTTCTTAGAGTCTCGTTCATGGGGGTGCCACAGCTGAGCCACATGGAAAGGCAGCCAGGAGAGGAAAAACAACAGATTTAAAATGAGGAACATCTTGATCGTTTTCACTTTTGTCCTTGGGACAATGTTCATGGTCCTCCTCACTGTTCGGCCATCAGTGCCTATTCTCCAAATGTACTTCACGACCTTCTGGTAAAACAAGATGATGAGGACAGACGGCATGACGAAGCTCACCAAGAAATGGATGATGGTATAGGCAGTTCCTTCCCAGGAGGAAGGGAAGAAATAGTTGCAGTGACTGTCCCAGCTGGAGCCAAAGAAAAAGAACACGGGGGTCACAAAGGCGGCATCGAAGATCCATGAAGCCGCGATCATTTTCTTGGCTTTTTCTCGGGACACCTTGAAGCTCAGGGGATAGACAATGGTGTAGAACCGGTCTATGCAGATGGAGAGGAGAACATAGATCTGGACACCGGGAGTGAGATACTGGAAATAGCGCACAACCTTGCACATCACGCTGCCCAGCGTCCACCTGCCAGTGGCGAACTGAAGCAGGACGAAAGGCGTGCTGGCCACGCTGACGAGAAGGTCAGCACATGCCATGGAGACCACAAAGTAGTTGGTGGTGGACTGAGTCCTCCTACTCCGGTGGATGACCAAACAAACCAGGGAATTGCCAAAGACAGAAAACAACCACAGGGCCCCAAAGAAAATGCTGGCTGTGGCCACTTCGCCGGGTTTCAGCCCAGGCTGCAGGTCTGTTGTGTTGCTCCTCCAGCCGCGCTCCTCGTGGAACGCCGTCCGCTCGTGGCGTGGCAGGGCGGAGGCTGTTTCCGCACAGCTGTGGTTTTGCAGGGGCACCAGCAGCGTGGGAATAACCAAGGGCGGCTTGCCGTTATCCATTCTGTGAGCGAAAACCATACTCACTTGTTTCCTTTCAGTTCTGGATAAGAAAAGAAGAAGGAGGCCTCCTGTTAAAACGGTGTCATAAAGAGCGACTCCTAAGGCTAACGATCTTATCTGACACTTAGATGGGTTGTCATTCGCCAGGAAGGAGGACTTGAGCCTTGGCAGGACAACTGGACTCCTATCCGGAAACAGCCCTGGCTCCGTCTCTCTTTCGTTTCAGGAGCTGTTTTAGCTGATCCCAGCTCAAGCTCTCTCTGGCCTCCCCTTCTCTTGACCTTTCGTCAAGTGAGGTGGACTCCAAGCCCCACCCCTGAACATCCCCTTGGCGCCTTCACTCACTGGGGACCACAAAGGGTGAGGGTGCTCGGATCTGGCTCACGGTGAGGGCACCACCCCGCAAATGAAGAGCCAGTGGAATGCGGGGCCAGTAGGTGAGAAGTTCCTAAATGTCATGACACTAAAGCAGTGAGGCTGTGAGTGGAAGACGTGGGCAGATGGAAACACACACAGATGTCAGCTATGGAAATAGCTCCTAGGAGTCTGCAGTCAGACTGGCTGGCTCCTGCAAGTGGCCCCGTTCTTCCTTCTGCAGAGTTTCTAGTTCAGAAGCATTAGGGAAGTACACGGAGCCACTGTATGTAACACTTAGAAGAGCCAGAATATCACCTAACTAAATGACATCTGAGAACGGCTCGCTTTTTTCCCCAAAGATGATGTGCTTCATGTTCTAATAGCTTTGCCACGTATCCAGGACATATCTTGATGTCCTTCTGCTGTTACTGTTTCACAAAAGGACATATTGACAGGAGAACATACAAGACGTCCTCTAAAGAATGTACCCAGGTTACTGGAAAGCTTATGGCCTCTGCATGATTAAAAGCAACCAACTATTAACTGTTACTCAGCAGCTTTTTAAAAGCTTATGATCCTTAGATATAGAAGAATATTATAAAGTTTAGCCTTTTTTTTAATTTTGGGGGGAACTATTTGGTGAGGAAAAAAGTTATCTTTTTTAATAGGTAAAACGATTATATAATTGTGGGCTATTCAGTTAAAACTGGGGTGACTTGGGTTGCAGTTGGATTATTAAGGTCTAATTTGATCTGAATCTATGAAGCAGAAAAGAGAAAGCACAGCACCTAAATCCAAAATAACCAGAGGGTGCCAGGGTGGCTCAGTCATTAAGCGTCTGCCTTCGGCTCGGGTCATGATCCCAGGGTTCTGGGATCGAGGCCCGCGTCGGGCTCCCTGCTCGGCGGGGAGCCTGCTTCTCCCCCTCCCTCTGCTTCTCCCCCTGCTCATGCTCTCTCTCTCTCTTTCTGTATCTCTGTGTCTCGAATGAATAAATAAAAATTAAAAAAAAAACATTAAAAAAAAAATAACCAGAGCAATTCCATGTGGGCTGTGGACAAGGGGAGGGCACTCCAGCAGCAGGCTCCAGCAGGGCCCAGTGTCCCCCACGGTGGGCTCCTATGACTAGCCTCACAAAGAAACGTTCCTGAAGTTTTAGAGGTGGGATTAAAGAACAGGTTTTTTGTTTGTTTGTTTTTTAAGATTTCATTTTTTTAAGTAATCTCTACACCCAACATGCGGCTCAAACTTAAAACCCCGAGATCAAGAGATGCACAGTCCACCGCTGAGCCAGCCAGGTGCCCTAAGGACAGCTCTTAATGAAAGAACGTTCTTAATGGCCCGCATTTCCTTGAAGGACTTTTGCGCTAATTTGTGGCAGGGAGAAGAGTGTTAATATATACTGTCCTCACCAAGAAACCACATTCAACAAAAATCTGGAGCTCAGGGCAATAATGTAGTAAATGCCAGTCCCGTATTATCTTCAGGCTTTTTTTGTCCATGAGGCAGCCCTACTTGATTTCTCAAAAGAAATGTCGTAATTAGGCATTTGACTACTAGAAGACCTTTAAGCATGGATGGCTGGTTGATAGTTGTAAGAAGAGCAACCATACTTCCATATAAAAAAATCAGGATACGCAGACTGAAAACAGAACATAAGATCTAAAATTAGCACTGTCCTAGAAAATCTGGAATGCATGACCCTTCTACTTCTAAAATTGAAATTATCTCTTCACCTTCGTATGTGTAAAACCTACAAAATGCCCCCAATTTTTTTATAAGGTTTAAACTTTAGGGGTGCCTGGCTGGCTCAGTCAGTGGAGCATGCGACTTGACCTCAGGGTTATGGGTTCCGAGCCCCACGTTTAGAGATTACTTACAAACAAAATCAATAAAATAAAATAAAATAAAATAAAATATTTAAAGTTTAAAGCAGATGAGCAATTTTCCCAGGCAGGAGGAGCTGTTCTAAACTTTTTGGGGATGCCTGTAGCCTAAATAAAACAGAAGTTGGTGGCATAGGCACGATGCTGCAGTCAATACACATATTCTGAAACCTGTGAACTTACTTTTGTTTCTCTCTTCCTCTCATAGCAAAACCCTGCACGTGAAACTCAAGTTCACCACCACAACTAAGGCACCGTGAGGCCTCCCATCTGCCATCATTTCCTCCAGCTGCATGTCACCAGTGAGTTCGTCTGCCCACTCCTCTAGCCCCACCAATGGGAAGCAGAGGATCCCACTCCTCAGAAACTGGACAAGGGAGCCTTGAGGAGCTCCTGAGTCCAGGTCTCCCCTGATGATGGCACGGCTGTTCTGACTCTACCTAAAACTGCTGCAGCCCTGTTTTTTCATTCAGTAAACCAAGACACTATGCTAGGTACTAGGGAAACAAAGATTAGTAAGGCCCAGAAGAGGGCAAATGTATAAACAAGCTGCCTGACCATATTATAACTAAATTCTGTAATAATTATAACTGATGCTAACAAGACAAGGAGCTAAGTGGCAGAGAAAAACGAGGATCCAATTTTGTATGGGATAGGAGAAGAAAAGGGAAGATTTCACAAAGGAGATGAGGTCTGAGTTGGGGACGTGGAGACTAGAACTTCTTCAGGAAGACAAGGGAGTGAAAAAAACATTCCAAGGGAGAGACAGAGCACGTGGAATGGTTGGTGGGGGGGGTCATCTTTTCTGGGTTGATCATTTTGGGGCCCTTTTCCTTTCAGAGACGACATTTTCTGCAAACCACACCTCCCAGAGTTTATCGTTTCTAAATGCCCTACAATCAGACTGACCTAACTTTTCCCCAAGGTTACAATGAGAGGTCACATTTTCTGCATTCATGGGCTGCGATGTGGTCAGACAGTGGATGAGAATATTGACATATCCAGAATGGCTGTGGTATCCTCGTTCACACAGCACTTTACTACAGCATTTTCCAAGTGTGTTTTGCTTTATAGCAACGGTTCTCTAGCTTAGCAACGCATTGGACTCTTCCAGGGAGCTTTAAAAAAATACCCCTGCCCTGTTCCTACCCCCAAAGATTCTAATTTAATTGGTCTGGAGGGCAGCCTGGGCAGTGGGAAATTTCAGGGTTCCCCAGGTGATCCTAATGGGCAGCTGAGATCAGGAATCCCTGCTTTAGAACTGTTTCCATGTTTCTGTCTTCCCCCACCAAGCTGGGGGCTCCCAGGGGAAGAATGTTATTCTTTTTCTTTACATTAATAATTGTTTATTAAGTATTTACTGAATGGAATCTGTAAGGACAGAGAACTGAAATGCATGACTCCTGCTCTAGGGGGCTCTGCTAGGAGAATTCAACCAGAGACAGAGAGTGATTGTGTCTTCTGAGCTGAAACACTGGTGACCATGGAGACGGGGAAAACACACTCCTGAGCAGAGCAGGGCAGGCGAAATTGAAGTCACCCTGGACTACTTTGCTACCTGCAGCAGAATTCTCATTGAGGGGAGAGTGAAGGTAGCCGAGGTGTCCTCAGACAGGCTTCTGCAATCCCCACTCTGGAAAAAAATTAGTCTGCCATATTATAAGTAAGTTCTAGGGTCCCAAAGTAAAATTTCAAAAAGGTCTCCCCTACTCCATTAAGTTGGAAATAAATCCCTCTTCAGGGGAGAGTTTCTGAAATACAAGGGCTGCTTAACTAATTATGTCTGGGTCATCCATATGCAGTAATATTAACAGCAAGAAACAGAGTATCTTAAGCAGACTCCACACCCAGCATGGAGTTGGTCCCATGACCCTGAGATCATGACCTGAGCCAAAATCAAGCCTCAGACGCTTAACCAACTAAGCCACCCGGGCACCCCAAGAATCATGATCTTAGCTTTTTGAAAATCACGCTGAGAGGTGGATGAATGTATGAATGATGAGAAACACAAGAAAGGACCACAAAGAGGCACAGAGGGGCTCAGCTGACAAACTCTGTGTAGTCACAGGTCTGCCAGGGGCGATTCCTGGCCAAGCACATCAACTTCTGCTTAGGCTTGTTCTCAAGTCCAAGAACCCTAACAACTGATTTCTTTTCCCTCATGAAATTATAAAGATTCACAGACATTCTCACAACATAGGAGGACCATTTTTATTTCTGACATTTGTTCAAAAATTTAATGTCAAACTAGAATTTTTAGAATGTTGAATTTTTACACGATTTGGTTGGGAAAAAAAAACTGTAACATTTTCTGTAGAATGGTAAGCATCTGCTGGACCGAAGCCAACACATAAGATAAGGCTGTTTATTAATGAGCAATAAGATTAATTATGAGGACAGCAGTTATAACATTAATACTACGGAGAGTTGATAGATATTTTGTGCTTATCATGTGTCAGGTACCTTTGAGGTAGGTAATATTATTAGCTCTATTTCACAGATGGGAAAAACTGAAGTTCCTCCCCAAGATCATAGTTATAAACGAGTCACCACAGGATTGCCTCATTCCAAAGCCCATGCTCTTAACCACCCCTGGGGAGGCCACAAAAGGCGGGATCTGAATTCAGAGGGTCAAACTGGCTGTACACGGATAGGTTTTTCTTGACTCCTCAATCAAACAGAGGAATGTAAAATTATTCTGCCACAGCCTCTTGCCTACCCACAGATACATCTGTTCAATATGCTAGCTCAGAAATATGTGACATAGTGAACATTTGGGGGGAAAAAAAAATCACTCCCACCACATACTGCACGGAGGCTTGGCATCAAAAGTGCAGTAGACATGTTGGTCTGGAAATACAGCCTTTCTTCAGAATAGAGAGTATGAGACTACTGGAAATCCATTATGACAGATGATGAACTGTTGTAGCCTTTAAACACAGGATGAAAGCAGAACTCTAAACCAGTGTGAACTGAAGTGAGAAGTCTGATCAGTGGTATTAGCCCAGGTAAGAAATTGTCTCCTTTAAATTTTAATTGTTGTAACTTAGAGAACATGATGGTGGAGATTTTCTCTTAAACCTTTCATGGTGATGTACACTTTGTGTATACGTGAAAATAAGAAATGCCCAGAACAGGGGTGGGTGACTGGCTTGCCTAAGCTGCCCAGAACCAGCTGCGCACATTTCTTCCCAACTCCAAGTTCAATGACATCATGTTGGCATAAATCAGCCACAGGAGGAACAGTCACACCATGGAAATGGACAAACACCACAAATGAGGTTTTTTGCCCCCTGTGCAGCCAGTTGTCCCACATTTACCAGCCTACCAACTTCCAGTAGAACACCATTTACAGGGCGACATCTCCCGAAGCCCTGAATTTACAAATGGCGAAGGAGGCCACAGAAGGCGTCAGAAGCTTCCCGAGTGGCTCTCTTGCTATCTGGCCCTGAGCTTTGGCTCTGGTGTGCACACTGAGCTAAGTGCTTCATGACTTTGGTGGGGGCACAGGAAAACCAGGGAGGATAAGACACATTCTCACAACGTGCTATCCAGGTACGGCCGCCAGATGAAATACAGGATGCCTGGTTCAATGACATTTTCAATGACATTTTCTTAGCATAGATATGGCCCATACAATATTCAACTGGTGTCCTCTATTACTATTAGCTAAATCTGGCAAACTTACACCCAGAATGGAATCCTGTGCTGAAAAACATCTATTTATCATCTCACAATACAGGGATATTGCAAAGTGGATATGTACGCAGGCTTTGAGGTCAGACAGCTGAAGTGCGAATCCCACCTCTGTCACACACTAACTAGTTGTGTCACCCAGACACATTATCTAACCCTCTTGAGCTCCAGTTTTCTTACCTGTAAAATGAGGATAATTAGCCCCTATCTCACTTGATTACTGTGAAGGTTAAATGAGATAATACATGCACAGGAGTTAAATGAGTTAACACAAGTCAATCTGCCTGGTATGAGGAAAATACTCAGTAAATGTTATCCCTGTATGGTTCTATAAACTATCTAACACGGTGTCTCGCACATAGCAAGTGCTTAAACAATTAGCACTCTTGGAGTACCTGGGTGGCTCAAGTCAGTTAAGCGCCCGACTTCGGCTTAGGTCATGATCTCAGGGTCCTGGGATCCAGGCCTGTGTCGGACTCTGCGCTCAGTGGGGAGTCTGCTTGTCGCTCTCCCTCTCCTTCTAACCCTCACCCTGCTCCTGCTCGCTCACTCGCGCACTCTCTCAAAACCTTTTTAAAAAAATTAGCACTCTTGTGGAGGTTCCTCAGAAAGTTAAAAACAGAACTACCTCATGATCCAGCAATTGCACTTTTGGTATTTACCCAAAGAATAAAAAAATACTGATTCAAAGGGAAACATACACCCCGATATTTATAGCAGCACTATCACCAATAACCAACTTATGGAAACAGCCCAAGTCCATCGACTGATCAATGGATAAATAGATGTGGTGTGTGTATGTGTGTGTGTATGTATGTATGTGGAATATTACTCAGCCATAAAAAAGAATGGAATTTTGCTATTTGCAATGACATGGATGGGGTTAGTATTATGCTAAGCGAAAGAAGTCAGTCAGAGAAAGACAAATACCATATAATTTTACTTATACTAAAAATTTAAGAAACAAAGGAGCACAGGGAAAAAAGAGAGAGAGGGGGCACCTGGGTGGCTCAGTCGTTAAGCGTCTGCCTTCGGCTCAGGTCATGATCCCAGGGTCCTGGGATCGAGCCCCGCATTCGGCTCTCTGCTCAGCAGGAAGCCTGCTTCTCCCTCTCCCACTCCCCCTGCTTGTGTTCCCTCTCTCACTGTGTCTCTCTCTGTCAAATAAATAAATAAAATCTAAAAAAAAAAAAAAAAAAAAGAGAGAGAGAGAGGGACAAACCAGAAACAAACTCTTAACTATAGAGAATAAACTGATAGTTACCACAGGGTAGCAGATAGGAGGGTGGGTTAAATAGGTGATGCGGATTAAGGTGTGCACTTGTGATGAGTACCAGGTGATGTATGGAAGTGCTGAATCACTGTATTGTACACCTGAAACTAACATTATACTGTATGTTAACTGGAATTTAAATGAAAACTTATTAAAAAATTTTAAAGGGGCGCCTGGGTGGCTCAGTCGTTAAGCGTCTGCCTTCAGCTCAGGTCATGATCCCGGGGTCCTGGGATCGAGCCCCGCATCAGGCTCCCTGCTCAGCTGGGAGTCTGCTTCTCCCTCTCCCACTCCCCCTGCTTGTGTTCCCTCTTTCGCTGTGTCTCTCTCTGTCAAATAAATAAATTTTAAAAAAAAATTTAAAAAAAATTTTTTTTAATTAGCACTCTTCCTATTGTTAGCCCATTAAGTCTTAAAAGCCATATGACAAGCAAATTTTAGTAACCACATCACACATCACATACTATAGAGTGATAATACTAACATTAGTCACATAATTTAGCTGTGTTAAGAGTGAATGGCTTTTGGGGAGGAGCCTAGGTACCTAATCATCATTCACATTGTTGGTTTTAAGGGGAAAATCACTGAGATCCAAATAAATCAACACAACCTTTCTCCAAGTTGGGCATGATTTTTTTAGTGCTATATTAACGCATAAAACTTTTTTCTATACCCTAAACCAAAACATGTAATACAATGAATTGAGTATTTCTCAAAAGCATCTAAAATCCACTCTGCTAAATTACTTCCATTAGGTAATTTTGAATACTTGCAAAACAACCTCACATTTCCACTGAAAAGAACTTTCCCCTCCACCATCTGAGACTCCTAGTATCATAGGCTTATAAGCCTAGAATTTTCTTGAATGCCACTTTCCCCTTTCCTGCTATATATTATATATTATATAATACATACAAGTATTCCTCCATAATATTCCAGCTCTGTGCCTTTCAATCTGTTTCCCGACTGGGATCAAGCTTAGTTTCCTAAGATCAGACTGGGCACACCATCTTTGTATTTGGATACTGGTTGTCCAAATAACTAGATTACTCTTCTACCACCTTTATCTTTCTTTGTCCTTCATGTGAATTTTAAAATATCAGTAATAAAGAGTCAGCATCATAGGAGTGATTTCTGGAAGTGAGGAAGGCTTCTATCCCAACTTCTCTTACCACTAGGGCATAATTCTTTTAAAGTCAAGGCCCCTATTAAAATGTAAATGCTTCTTTTTTTCTAAAAACTATTTTATTTTTAAGATTTTATTTATTCATTTGAGAGAGAGAGAGAACGAGTCGGGGGGAGGGGCAGAGGGAGAGGGAGCAGACTCCCTACTGAGCAGGGAGCTCAACGCAGGACTTGATCCCAGGTCCTGGGATCATGACTTGAGCTGAAGGCAGACACTTAACCGACGGAGCCATCCAGGCGCCCCAGAATGTAAATGCTTCTTAAAGAGTACATATTTTTACATATTATCAGTAGAATGGTGATCTCTGAGATCTATGGTCTTAGTGGAAATGAAAACAGAAGAGATGCTGAAACAAAAGCCTTGAGGACAGTCAGCATCTGGGAGAATGGGGTGCCGTTATGGAAGGGAGCAGGTGAAGGGTGAAAGACTGATGGAGAAGCACCTACTTGACGGTTCTGTGTAGGGATGGCTAGCATTGGAATAAATGTCGCACCCAAAAAGAATGTAACAGAAAGGAGCCCAAGCTTTACCCCACATGGTTTCTGTTGGCCGCAAGCTGCAGTCCTCCCCAAATTCTTTACGAACAGTGTTGCAGGAGAAAATGTTAGGTCATATTGGCACCCCACTGTGGGTAAGTATAAAGGACACTGGCCAATATTTCTCACCCTACTGCCACTTAGTAGAGTCCTGCGTAGGAGGGATGCAGCTCCAGATTTAATAATACTGAACTTCTCCCCTCTCTCTACTGTTCATGCAAAATCTGTAAAGTCAGATAAAATGGGGGGAAAAAAGAGAAATAAACACCAAGAAACTTCACCCTAAGAAATGACTATGTTGTTACGATGGTATATGTAAAATCATCTTCTATTATACATTTACCCAATAGTCTTTTCATACATAGTATGAACCAGGATTGTGCTAACTGCTGAAGTACAGAAGTTAACTAGATAGACAAGGTCCCTGCTTTTGTGGAACTTATCTCTAGGGGGGAAAACAAATAACAGTAAAACAAATACATACATAGTAAAGAAATGGCTGGCGCTATGGAGAAAAACAAAGCAGAATGAGGGACCAAGGGTCCACGGGAAATGGAAGGACAGGTGACTGGATGGTCGCCTAATGGCCATTCCCAACTTCTCCCTTGCCTTCCTCTATCAAGAGGCTGAAAAAGCAAGATAACCACTTTCCGCTATCCCTTGCAGCTAGGGATGGTCACATGAACATCATCTGCTTCTGGCAAGATAAGAGGAAATCTCTAGGAGGGTGTTGGGAAGCTCTTGGAAAAATGTTTCTTTCTTGGTAAGAGGAAAGAGGCATGCAGAGAGGGTTCTCTTTTGTGGGCCTGGCTGCCCCTTGCTTCTCCTTTGTAAACTGTCATGTGAAGACGTCAGGGCACTGGGTGGTATCTTGTGAAGTCAGGGGAAGTCCAGAGACTCACAAAGATACTACCCAGTGTCCTGACACTGTGGTGCTGCTAGAATAGCCATCACTAGACTTATTAAATAAGCAATATGTTATGGCTTTAAGCCCCTTTCAGTTTCTGTTATTTGCCTCTAAAATCATCCTGACTGACACAGGGTCTTATTTCAGATGGACTGGCCAGAGAAAGGTTCTCTGAGGAAGTAATACTAGAGCGGAAACCCCAGTGATGGGAAGCCAGCCATGTGAAAATCAGAAGAGCATTCTGGGCAGAAGCAATGTGTGCAAAGATCCTGGGGCAGGAATAAACTTGTTATGTAGCTGGAGCAGATGAATGTGGAAGAAAATGGCACCTGATATAATCAGAAAGGTGGGCAGGGGATTGGATCACACGGCATTGGAGGGCACAGGTACTAGTCCTACCGCAGTGAAATCCAGTGCAGGTTTTATTCTAAGGAGTGATAAGATTATGACCTGATTTATGTTTTAAAAATACAACTTTAATTGCTGTGTAGGTGGCTGAGAGAAGTGGGGGGCACCAGTTAAGAGGTTATTACAATAACCTAAATAAGTGATATTGATGGCTGATAGCTAGTAGCCATGTAGGTGGAGAAAAGTAGATGGATACTGAAAACATTTTGGGGACAGCCAACAACTTCTGCTGATGTGTGACAGGGTTTGGGGATAGGAATGACTCCCTAGGTTTGAGGGTCTGAGATGCGGGGAGAAAAGCTTGGGGAGCTGGAAATCAATAATTTTATTTTGGGTGAGTTGCATTCTTACTGGATACCCAAGTAGAGATACCCAGTTGGCAGATGAATATTAAAGTTTGGAGAAACGTCTATTCAGATTCTTTGCCTGTTTTCATTAATTCATTCATTTTTCCGTAAACACATTTTAAGATCATACCCTTTGCCAGAATGTACTGTGCTAAGAACCATGTATACAATGGCCAATAAAACTGTGTCCTTACCTTCATGAAGATCACGGTCTAATTATGACTGTGTTGCGGAGGGATGCGGAGAAGAGTAATAAGTAAAAATAAAGACAGTAAGTTGTAATGAGTTCTGTGAAAGAAAAGAGCGTGGCAGGAGGGCCCGCTTTTGGGCTGGGTGGCCGGGGAAGCAATGAAAGCAGCAGGAACCAAGACAGAGAAGAACAGGACCGTCTATGGGTAGACTCTCTAGGACTCCTGCTGCAGACAGATGACAGGACAAGGAAATCAAGTCACCAAGCTGCCTTGGATACCAGCCACCTTTCAGATCCTGAGAAATGTTTCAGGCTCCTTGGGGCCTGGCCTTAGTACTTGTGATAGGCAGTTTCCCTTGAGGCAACTCAGATTTCTCTGCAGTCCAAAGAACCTACCACACAGTGGGGGGTGGAGGGGGGAAGAGATAAAAAGGGGTAAGCGGGGGCCTGGAGGGACAAAATGCCTCTGGGAACTTCCCTGCACTCTTGTACCAGATGGGTTCCCCAATTCTCCCACACTATGTCCCCAATAGGTCATTTAGGCAGGAAGCAAAGAATGCCTTCATTTCTGCTTAGAGGAGGAAGGAAGCTGGGTAAAAGGAGGAGGCCTGACTCCCTCTCCTGCAGGTCACTGCTCCATGGAGTCAGTGCTGTCCACTGATAACTGCAACTGGAAGACTCCACCACACTGTACAGAGGCAAGACAAGTCCCTGCGGGTACTGATTTGTGCTGTGCTCCTCGCTGAGATTTTCCTATTCCCTTCTGAGAATGAATCCAGACCCTAAATGCTGCCTTGTCCTGGAGGAGAGTCGTATCGCTGGGCCCCGAGACAACCCTGCTTCCTTGGCTTTCGTGTGTTATAGGCTGAGTTCTCTGAGAGGACTTCTACAGAGCGTAGGAGGGAGAAACAAGGATGTCTGAACCTGGATGTGGCTATGGCCCTTGGAGCCATGCAAAAGGCAGGCCTGGATGGTCAGAAGAGATCTTTTTGGGGATGACGAAAACGTTCTGAAATTTGATTATGGTGATGGTTGGGCCACTCTGTAAATATTAACACAAATCACCGCCTTGTAACTTAATATGAGTGGGTGCTATGCTATACGAATAGAGCTGTTTAAAAAAAAAAAAAAAGAAAAGAAAAAGATAAGCCTGGGACCCTTGCCTCACTTCCCCACTGCACTCCAGGTAAGTGACAAGTGGTAATGGGGGAGTACAGCTAGGGGGCTGGATCCAAGGCCGGACTTAGAAGTACAGTCTGCCGCCCCAGCGGGGTACCAAAGCCACAGATCTCCCAGCTTTCAAGGACACACACCAGCTCAGACAATCACATGTCTGCTATGACCAGAGGGGATCCAAGGCTAGAGGGACCACCCGTACATTTTGCTGGGTTTACAAGCCCCAGGACCTAGAAAGAGGAAGAGAGTCCCAGTAATGTTTGTCACTGACTTTCCCATTAGCCTGGTAGGATGGAGTCTTGCAGAATGGCCCCCTAAGGATGTCCATGCCACACAGCAAAAGGGACTCTGCATATACAATTAAGGTTATGAAACTTAAAATGGGAAGATTATGCTGGATTATCCAGGTGGGCACAAACTAATGAGCCCTTAAAAACAGAGGATCCTCTCTGGTTAGAAGCAGAAAGATGAGGAAAAAGAAGTCAGACAATGATTCCAAGCATGAGAAGGAGCTGGCTCTGCGATACAAGGGCTCCCGTGCAAGAACCAGGGAGAGGCCACTAGGAGTTACGGATGGCCTCCAGCTGACAGCCATCAAGAAAATGTGACCTTAGTCCTACAACCACAAGCCACTGGATTCTGCCAACCACTGCAAAGAGCCTGGAAGGGGAATCATCCTCTCAAAAGGAACACAGTGGGGCGCCTGGGTGGCTCAGTTGTTAGGCGTCTGCCTTCGGCTCAGGTCCTGATCCCAGGGTCCTGGGATTGAGCCCCGCATCGGGCTCCCTGCTCAGCGGGAAGCCTGCTTCCCCCTCTCCCACTCCCCCTGCTTGTGTTCCCTCTCTCGCTGTGTCTCTGTCAAATAAATAATAAAATCTTAAAAAAAAAAAAAAGGAACACAGTTCTGCCAACACCTTGATTTCAGCCTTATGAGCCTCAAAGCAGAGAAACCAGCCAACCCACCCAGACTTCTGACCTGCAGAACTGTGACATAAGAAACATCTGTTATCTTAAGCCACTAAATTTGTGCTCATGTGTTCTGCAGTAATAAAAACTAATTCAATATAGCCATTTCTTAGATAATTCAGTGTGAACATTAAAATTCATACCAGCCATTCTATCACTTTCCACTACCCCATCAGCATCTAGAGTATCAGAAACCTTGAGAAGCTTGAATAGTGTAGTGCTTTCTGGTTCACCTGAGACATGGGACTGGGGGCTAAGAAACCTGGGCTCTAATTCTGAATATAAGCACTGAACAGCAAGACAAGAGACACAAGGTCTTATTTCTAAGGCCCTTAAGTAAATCAACCTCTCGGAATCTCCGTTTCCATGGCTATAATATAAATGAGTTGGTCTAGATGATTTTTGAGGTCCTTTTAGCGTTAGGAACTAAAACTGATAGGTAGACATTGTGATGAGCAGCACACATTTGTTTAATTTATAACTCACCACCTTCACCTGGCAGAGAGCTCACCCCAAGAGTGCATTTTGATGGGAGGAGAGGGAAGCTGGTTAGGGCTGCTGGGGCTTCTCTGAGCTTCTGATATCCAAGATCAAGAGTATGGGTCTCCAAAGGAGGGATAAATTTTCTTTCCCTAGAGGCCAGCTAAGCACCCCTGTCCCAATAATTACCTTTGAAGGGCCAACAATTTCTTACTGAAGATTCCCTGCAAGAAGTTGTCTGGTCAAAGAGGACTTCCAGCTGTGTCTGTCTGCCTTTCTATCTACTACCAAGCTTCTCAGAGGGGAGAGACACTTACTAGAACCCCTGGCTGTCCTCTACAATTTCCTACACCTCTCTTCTCAGTATGGAGGCTTTCAAATTCTGAAGGAAACAGTCTGGCCAAGGGATCTGCACCTCCCCTAATTCAATTTATTTCATTTTTTGAATAGCTGCTGTGTGCTCGCTGAGTCTAAAGTAGAGGCAAACAGTTGTTCTGGAGATAAGCATTCAGTTTCATTTTCAAGCTTGTATTTCAGTATCAACATCTCTAGTTGTGCAACTTAAATAGGAAAGAAGTGAGGAGGCAAAGACCAGATGCATCACACTCAAAGCAAAGAACTACACAGTAGGTGCAATTTACAGCAATTTGAAAAGAAGGTGAACTTTTTGTTAAGCACGGAGTACAAACACTAAACAAAGAGTTACTAAGAACTGTTTTTCAGAAACATATTCTGTCTTACATCAAATTC